AGTGAATGGTTTTCTCCGCACTGTTTAACAAGCGGTATTCACTTCTAATAATTAAAGTACTCCAGTGAAGAGCGAGAAAAAAAATATGTAGGCCTACTTGAATTGGACGGAATTCCATTCTTGAAGCTGTTTCAAAACGTCACAGAAACACTGGTTTGGTCCTAGGCGTTGGCAGCTAGTCCTGGACCCTGGTTTATTTCAGCACAAACCAACGTTGGGCGCCATTGTCACCGGGTCTTTTGTAGGATAAAAATCCAACACTGGATTCGGCACAACTATATTTATTTACTGTGCTTATAACAAAAAACCTACAAAGTATAAATTAAACACACTCTCACAACACAATACACACACAGAACGAATACTTTACATTTAACATCAGACATTAACAACACATAAATTATATGATTGTTCGCTGTCGGGATTAATTAATAAAAGTAAATTATAAAATACATTTATATAATAATTATAATAAAGGTAAACAGAAAGCTTACCAGGAATCCAGTTAAATTAACTCCAAGTAATACTTTACAGAATACTTCTATTTTTCAAATATATGTAAGACTTCTACCGTAAAGGCAAAAAGCGTAGGGGTCGAGAATTGGCGGGTACTGTGCTTAAATACTCGATGCAGAAATTAAAACATGCATATTAATAAGATAAAACAGTCGGTTATTGGTCAGCTGTAAGGTCACATTAGGCCACCTAACCGGAAACACGTGGAAATACAAAAATAAACAATGTCACATGATCTCCCAAAACATTCACACTAAGACACACAACACAAACAAACGCAGCGAACGCATTCGATTGGCAATGCGCGCCAATTTTATGTACAAATTAAAACACAACATCTGTGACATACGTACTGGTCCCAGCTGACAAACAGGTAACAACATTGTCTTTATAAAGCTCATTATTTTAATTGTAGTTTAGAGGAACTTGGATTTAATTCTGCAAGTGGTAATCAAACTAATGGTCATATTTCCCTTTCTATGGAGGAAATTCTTCAAGATCATAGGTCAGTTTTAAAAACTTTTAATATTCCCAACAATCAAATTGAATGTGAATTACCGTACCTATACTGGAGTCCTAAACTACATCAAATCCTTATAAAAAAAAAAAAAGACACATAGGGGTTCCAGTAAATGTTCTACCAAACCTCTTTCTTTACTCCTCACTAAAATATTAACAGCAGTGATGGAGAAACTTCAGGAGTACTAACAACAATATATTCGAGAAGTGGTGTAAATTCGATGGTCGATACAATGACACTGTCAACAAATACATATAAGTCGAAATTGACTGGCGTTTTTTCATACAAATGGTTAGGCCATTATTTTCACACAGCTATGGATTTTTCCGTTTGCTCGATCATGACACGGCGGGTGTGATCGGTCGACAGGGGATGCTTACTCCTCCATGGCACCTGGTCTCACCTCTCTTGTTTTTAGAGGTCCATGTTTGCTCTGCTCTAAATTTGTATTGTTACAATGGATTTTTTAGCTTGATTACTGTTCGTTATATTCCTATTTCACTGAAAAATAATTATTTATTCACCTTTATTTCAATAAACAATGAATAAATGTCGTTAAAAATATCTGAATATTTACATATTTAATGTATTTAAATATAAAGCAGATCATTGTTCTTTCTGCCTGATGTAAGGAGGGAGCAGCTGTCATCTTTTTTTCTTAAAACAAGAGACAATAAAAGCAGAAAAGAAAAAAAAATAATATTCTTAAAAACGCTTATCTCAATCTCGAAAAGAAAACTGGTTGTTTTTTTTTTATTTGTCAGTTACCATGGGTGCATCCTCAACCCAGATTGTCCCATACTTTGTTCTACAAATTGTCACATGGCCGCCGCGGTGTCCCTTCACTATAAAACTTCTATCAGATTTATCTGAAAAACTGGTAACAGCATTTTTTTCAAAACTTCCATTTTCTTTCTGGAGAAAGACGCCAACGGTAACGGAACCATGTACTGTAGGGATATTGACATATTCTCCGCCACGGATTACTTGTGTCGTTTTTCTGCCGTCGTTATCAGACAAAACAATTCTAATGGTGTCATCAGTGGCATTGGCAATATGGGTATTGTGTTGTTGGCAACGTGAACATAGTTGGCCCATTCTGAAATGAGTGAATGAATAAAGTATAACAAAATAACAATTGGTGTTTCACTAACCATTCTATATTTTATTGTTGTTGAAGAAAAACAATACATTAATGTTAAAGAGTCTCACTTTCTCATACATACCTTGACAATGGATGGCGAATGTCAAGCAATTGTTTCACACATTTGGAAAAACACACACAGGAAACGGAAAAGGGTAGAGAAATTTTTTTGAAGGATTGTTCTCTCCACAGCTGAATAAACACTTTCTTGATTCATCCGTCTGTGTAGAAAAGTCTACTTCGTTCATGTTGTTCGCGCAAAAAATACATGCGCATTCGATGAAACAATTCCCTTCCACTTATTGTTTATCAGCATCTCTTTTCCGTTTTACAAATTAAAAAAAAAATATTGCATATCCTTCAATGTAATCTTGTTGGCAAAATCTCCTTAATTGTGCAAAAAGAAATTAAAAAAGACAGAAAAGAAGGGTAAACCATTACTATATTTTCTTACAAGTGAGGAAGGAAATATGATTTCTAGTTGATTTCCTGTTTAAAAAAAATAATTAATTTAACAATCTGTGCATCAAGTTTGCAATTTCTTTTTTTAAAAAGTTTTATATTTTCAGATTCTGCATTTGCTGATGTTGGGACAATGATAAACCCTGTGTGATTATTATCATGCTATGTAACATTCCACGTGTATCCCTATGCCCATCACGCGTATTTGCATCTAAGTCGACATTAAATCGAGCCATGAATCTGATAATTGAAATTTTGAATGTTGAAATTAGTTACAGTCTACCCTAACAAAATTTTACGATAGTTATTTTAGATAACTATGCAAAAAACTTTGATACTTACTTTGATACTTATCTTTTGGTTTGAAATTTTTGTTTGGGACTTTCCCTAAGATTAAGGCCTAAATATCTCGATTTTTCCTCACCAGTCATAAAAATTAATTTTAAAATGATATGTGCAAAAAGAAGTAATGTTTACTTTTGATTTAAAAAATTGCATAGAGAAAATGAAATTTAACAATTTAAAAATCATAGTAAAAATATTTTGATTTACGATAAATATTAAGAAAACCTTTAATTTACTTTAGTTAAAACTTTGTAACTATGGATAACTATTATTATAGTTTACTATATAACTATTAACTATAGGAAACTATAGTTTACCTACTGTGTAGGTTATCGTTTTGTTGGAAAACAGTAAAATTACTTATTTTCATGGGGTCAATTTTTCATGGTTAGAGGAAAAAATACTGGTTCGAGGGGTTTAATTTTGCGGTAAAAGGAGAAACATTATGCAACAGTATGAAATTTTCAACATTGATTTGAGGATATGAATTCGTGGGAAAGAAGAAAACAACGCCCCCCCCCCCCCTACCCCCGAAAATTAGTAATTGTACACAAGTTTTTATTTGGTTCGTAGTATAACTTGAGTAGATGGTACTTATACATAGTTTTGTATTATATAGTTACAGATTATGCTTACATTGATTACAAATTGAGTAATACACTGTAAATTTAAATTTCTTTTATCTTAGATCTAGGGGCAGATTCTCCTAACTGCATAAAAATCTTTAGTGTGCAGTGTCGAGAGAGCTCTTAATTTTAAGTAATATTTAATGACAATAACATCAACTGTCCTTAATAATGTGGGAGACTGATGATTGAGTAAGGCCGGAATTTGGTTATCCGACCAGACAGTGACAATAATTAGTCAATCTGTTTCCGGGTTAGATCTTAATTTTCTTGCATCAGCAAAAATAAAATGCGTGTGATGAAAGCATCTGATTTTAATTTTGTAAATATGAAATATCCACCAAGCCCAAAACCTGAGCAACGTGTACAAGTATCTTTAATTTTTTTTCTTTCCCTATGTGTTCACATATTTACATTTATAGAGCTATATTTACACACAATTATGAAAATGTTATTTGAATTCTTTGCTGCATTAGGTTCTTCTTTTGTCTTCTCGGCAGTTCATTGTGAAGTAGACCAATGATGTCAATCAGGACTTCTTTGTTTTCCATAAAGTTATCCTAGGTTTTATGATGAATTTGGGGAATTAGCAAGCGTCACAGTGGTCAAGATAGCGAATCTCTCACCTTCGATTTAACTATCAAACAGTTCGTTTTATTGGTTTTTTTGGTTGATGCCAATATGTGTGGACTTTAAAAAATGAATATCTGAGTAAATATTAAGAAAAGTTGTGTAATATAACGATTTTGATGAAATTTCCCGTAACACGATGGCAGTCAGTCAAGAGCGCAAATTTTTCCTATATGGAATGGCACAAATGGTTGATGTTAGTGATATGGCATATTGTCGGCTGTCCCACTGTTGTATTTTTTTTTTATCACTTTGAGCAATATTTCCAACTCAATAACAACATTTCAAATTCAATATTGTATTTGTTTTGATATACCATGAAATTTATGCTATGTATTTAGCGATCTTTCATAAAGAACAGTCATTTACATGTATTTGCAAATCTCTCTAAAAATCTATATGAATGAACAAATTTATTTAAGAAGTATATTCAATTCTACCTTAACAGAAAAATAATAAAGTTAATAGTTAACTATAATTTACTATAATATCAGTTTTCATTAAAGTAAATCAAAGTTTCTACCATAGTTAATTAAAATATTTTTACTATGGATTTCAGATTGTTATATATGATGTTCTTCAATTCATACATGCACATATTTTATATTAAATGGAAATATTACCTGTATATTCACAAATTATAACCAAATTTTACGTCACTGATATCGAATTTAAGAGATTTAAGCATTGAAATATCAAAAAAAAAAAAGTTATAGAGTAAAGTTTTATAGTAAATCAAAGTATTTACTATAGTTAACTATTGTAAATTTTTGTTAGGGTAGTATCGGCAAAATACTATTTTGAGCTGATCTTTGAATTTTGTATCAAAGTACCCGTATACAAAGGGATTCAGTATGTGATTTATAAACACTAAACGGGGTAAATATATCCACATCATAGAGTCTGTCTCCGACAGTGTTACGTAATCGAAATCTTCTATTGTATAAGTAAGAACCAGAATCACTAGGGGAGCGATATACGAAAGCACATACGTCAAAATGATGATGAAAAACATTATGCTGAATCGATCTACTGGGCGTTTATGAACCTTCTTCATTTTTTGCTGTAAAGTTGTGGGTAGATCAGTTGCCGTTCGAGCTGATGGATTGCCGGGGTCTGTCTCACCAGCAGATTTACATGCGGTTTTGTTCTCCTCTGTTGAGATCACTCTATCTGCAAAATTGGGCTCATTTTTGCTTGTATTTGCTTGGATAACCTCTGATTTTTTTGCAGCTTGAAATGTTACACTAGAACAGGAATGCTCGTTCTCTTGTTTCAATATTTCTTTTTTATCAGCTGCATTTGATTTCCACGGACGAGAACGCTTTATTCTATGTAGGATTGGGATATAAAGGAAAAGTGTGACCAAAATATTCGCAATCGAAAGTATCAGCAAAAAGGCAAAGTACGCTGAAACAAATAACGATTGATACATTGAAAATTTGCAAACTCTTGTTGTTATACTGTGGTTCATGTAAATACTGTTCGATTGTAGAATTCCTGCTGTTTTCAAAACAGGAACCGAGCACAGAAGTCCAATGCAACAGGAGCTAAGAAAAGAAACTCGTTTCCAAAATAATGTCATTTTTGGCCCAAACGGTTTGCACACTAGAAGATGTCTTTGAAGGGATATCACTAGTAACATATTTGCCGATATTGTTGAAAAACACAACAGGAAGAATGATAAGATTTTGCACCAAACATTACTTGGATAGTTATAAAAATATGAATTATCCAGAATAAAGAATGGAGGAGTTGTCAGACATGCAGAAAGATCCACAATCGCTAAAAGTGGAATAAAATAGCGTTCACCCTTCTCTTTTATCCGGAACAGGTACACGAGAACAACAAAACTGTTCCCAATGACTCCAATAACCGCTCCAATAATAGAACCTATTGTACTACCTAAAGCTCTTTGATAGTGTATTGCCTGTAACAAATGTTCATAGGCCTTCGTATCATTTGCCATTATTGCAATTCCAAACATAAAACGAAAAGAACAGCGACTTTCTAATTGTTCTCTTCCATGTGTTATACAAGCATCAAGTTTGACACAAATGTTAATGCACAGCTCAGGAGCAGAAAAACGATTATGAATCTGCAAATTTACTAATTACCACTTCCTTATGCATCTATTGGGTTCGAAATGTGGACCCTTGATACATACATTATGAGTCTCATGTTTTTCAATGTTGACTGGATACTTCCGACAAGTATTGCGTTCATCCTTATATCAATTTCATAGTGTAGTCATTTCATTCCTCTTGCCCCCTCCCCCCTCCCTAAGTATGGGAAGCGCACACACTGTGATCCAAAAGACTGGTTTGATTCCTGGGTTTCTTAACTTAAAAAGTGTTGTTAAATATCAAAAAGTAACATTAAAAAAGGTTTGAGAGAGACTTAAAAAAATGAAGAAATGACTCAGAGTTTGAAGTGCTATGCAGGATGCACTTCACGTTGTTGTTGTTGTTGTTTTTTTTTTAAATTGTGCTTCGCGTCGATCGTTTATATTTTTTAACAGCAGATAATCATTTTTTTTTTAATACTAAGCTCTAACAAAAACAGTCTGAATAATTGTAGTACTCCAAGTATCTGCTGCTGCAGTAAAAATGTAATATCGGATCAGGAGAGTATAATGTTTTACGTTCTATAGTAATAATTGATAAAAGATCAATTTCATTGAACACAATTGATAAACTATGCAGTTCTCTACATCATCCTCTCTGAATTCAGTAAGACAGGTAATGATCATTTCAACTAGAAATTTAACTTAGATTTGAGTAGGCAAGATCAATGTCATGTGCATGAAAATTAGTAACGGAATCTTTGAAAGATGTTTATATTAAACCAATTACATGTTATCGACAGTGTGATGACGAATTCGACGTTATTCTAGACATTCAGACACCAATTTAAATCACACTTCAATTTCAAATACAAAAAGAAAATGGTTATGTACTGGCATTCATTTAAAATAAGGAAACTAAATAACATTTGTTGTCACATCAAATTGTAGAACAGTGTTAATATATTTTGTTTTCTAACACTTTTGATGCTTTAATCACTTTTTTTCTTTGTAGCACGAAAAAGAATTGTTTTGTTTTGTTTGTTTGTTTGTTTAGTAAACGTCCCTTTGAGATTTTTTCACTCATATTTAGACGCCACCATTGGAGGGCTGCAAATTTTAGACCTATACTCGGCACTTGAGGCCATTAAGCAGTGAGGGATCTTTTTCGTGCCAGCACCTACTGCGACACGGGACCTCGGTTTATACGGTCTCATCTGAAGATCCACGTCCCACAGTGGGATTCGAACCCGCGAAGTAAGGATCAACTCCTTACGTCGCAACTCTAGAGCAAAAGCTCTAACCACTGCGCCACAAGGGCGACACGATAAGTGAATAAAATAGAAAACTGAAATGATGGTTAACTGGACAAATGATCCTTTAGATGTCATACAAAAATTAAACTGTCTTACCTCTTTTTATTGATTTTAAGAACACTTTACTTGTGATTTCTTCACTCTTGATTCATCTTCAATACTCTTCAGCTGCTGATACTTATTAAAAAAATCATGGACATTGAGTTTTATTAGACACAAATATATAAAGAAAAAGTATCATCATAGAGATCGCCATAACAGACGATTGAATAATAATTGATAAATGCACAGCACGCTGATCTACATGGGCATGCATTCGTAATAAGATTGTACATGTATAGTAATGGGATGTTACATATATTATTGAAAAAAAAAACCTTTCATTTGGACATTTTGAAACTGTGCCATATAAATAAAACAAAAGATTGATTATTGATATATTGAATATAATGTAGAGAAAAAGTAATTAATTTGAATATAAAAAAAAGTATCAAATAAACATAACTTCATTTTGTTGCATTTGTTATTTAAATATGCAAAGAGAAAATAACTTCAGCGCCCATGACGCATCTCAACGTGTGAAATTCATAGCTCTTAAAAATCGGTAAGCCAGTCGAAAAAAAGTGAATTTTAACAGCGTGTATCTATTAATTTTTCCTGTCTCTGTGTCAGAGTGTACTAGGATGTGACAAGCTTAAATTACCAAAAATATAATGTAAATTGGTCACAAATCCGCAATAGCTCAAGCAAGAGGTGTGTCCTAGTTTTCCTTTTACTATGTAAAGATGTACTCTTAGATGCTTTTTTAAAATTCAAATGCCAAAATTAAAAAAAAAAACAACTGTCAATATAACTCATTCTATGGCTTCACTACGTACGAATTCGCTCAATCATGTTGTTGCTCAGTCGTAGCTCGCTTGTATTGACATATTTCAGAAATTTCAAAAGTACATAGTACAGTATGCAGTGAATTTTACTTACATTATTAAATACCCACACAAAAATTATTGATATTTTTTTTTTAAGTTAACAAGCAAGCGTTTAATTTAATGAGTCAGCAATATTAAGAAATATTTTGAAATAAAAATAAATACCAAGTTTTAACCTCTCATTTTCATTTTCCTTGCATTAAAATAACGGTTAAAATGAAATCGGCTTATATTGAAATATCGCTTATATTGAAGCCACTGATCGTTCCCTATAGAGGTGAAAATGATTTGTTTTTTCATAACGGTGATATTGAATTACTCCCTGGCGGTTGTCGATACGGTTTGTAACAGTAATAATGCCTGACTGATCGGTTGAATATACAAAGGTGTGAACTGATAAGTTCTCATCTTGACTTCTGTGATTTTATACTGCTTTTACAAAATAAAATTTATTTACTGTTGAATTCTTTGTTTTCACGTATACGACGTATTGAGGCTAGACGTAATATAAGAACCCCACAGAAAAGAATTAAATACCTTATCTTTGGACATTAAATACGAACTAGTTATGGCTATTGATAAGAAGACAAATTAAGCCTAAATCCGAAATAGCTAAGGATTTTGGGGTTAACTCGAGTACACTTACGGTGATATACAAGCAGCGTTTAACCGTGATAAGTTTGAAGACGTATATCTTTTCAGGTGAGATGGAGAGCAGAATGTACAATCAAAGAAACTGTCTTTTAGATAGTGCAGCTAAAAGTTATGATAAATGGAGAGAATGGTTTGGAGGAGGCATACCGCTATCAGATTTTAGTGGAAACAAAGAAATTACAGTATATATAGAGAAGAAGACATTGCTTTGAAAGAAAATCGTACAGCGAGGATTTAAATTCAATATTCTGCAATGCTACAAATTCTTGCAAAGAAAACGACAAACAAAAGTTCATTAGTTTGCTCACGAAAACTTTGGGGAAGATTGGAATAACAGTCCCTAATGCAACGGGAGATGCATATCTTTTCATTGTCAAAACTGCTATCGATCAAGCTATAGACAACAAAACAGTGGTAATTGGTGAAGACACAAATCTTCTTGTTCTCCTCCTTCATCATTCTGATCTTGAAATGAACCATATTTACCTTAAATCAGAACAAAGACAAACATCGCTTCGTATTGTAAGAATATGGAACATCATATATACAAAAAGAAATCTTGGGGATGCAATCTACAAACTTCTACCAGCAATCCATGCAACATATTTTGAATTTATGTTACTGGAAAAGGGGCTATTCTAAAAGACGGCAAAATCTACAGCCCCAAAGAAGTCACTTCTAATACATGTAATTTATTGTTTATGAAGAATCAATTATTATTTACAACGGTCTACCTGTAAGAAGCACAGAGTTCATTGCTCTAGAAGTTGTGAGGAGTGTCGGAATTTATTGCTCATATGGAGAAATGGTGTTCATTCTGCTGATTTGCATATCGGCCATTTTGGAACTATAACGGCGGCCAAATTTATTAAGGTTTATATAGACAAAATACAAAAAATTGCGAATTTTTATATCCTAACTATTTCGGATAAAGTTCTTCCGCCGATGGCTTGATTCTTCTTAATATCTTCTACCGGAAATAACAAGATTGTTGATACCAAAGTGAAAGTTGCGACCGCCTTTTACATTTGAAATTCCGAAGCGAGAGTATAATGTTTTAATGAAGGAAAGAACACAGAATTGGTGTCTTTATCATTTTTGTCCAAGCATCATTTGTTCTACTTTCATTTTTTTAAAGACGACTAATAACTCTTAAAATTTTATTTTCAATGGGAGCATTACAAATAACCAACTACAACTAGTATAATTTCTGTTGCAATTTGTTTAAGATTGGGGTGATTTTGAAATAGATTGACTAGACTAAGTTTAGATAAATAAATGTAAGAAGAAGTGGATTGGTACCTGATCAAATTTTCTTAAAAGCCTAAAAACGATTTAAAATTTGTTCTGTATAGTTACTCTTAAAGAGAAGTTATTGTAAGCTTGTAATACTGATTTCATTGGCAAATCCAGGATAACTTAAAAAGGGGGCCCACCAGGCCGGGGTTAGAGGGCCGACTTAAAGCCCCTAGAGGGCAATACCCCCGAAAGGTCCTAGATTTTAGGTATTTTTAGATCTGTTTTGTGAGTTATTTTAGGTATATTTGAAGTATAATGAAACATTATTAAAAGAGAAAAGAAAAGATTTATTCCTCTTTGCTCAATTTTGGGTCACAAAAAGGATCCTCTTATTCCGCATGTGGATCTTATAGGCTAGCAATCTTATGTATGTATGTTTATTCAATCCAGAATGCTTGTTTGAGATGTAGATAGATAGCTATATATTATGCATGCTAAGTTACTTACTTGGGAAAAACTTTCTAAATTTTATCTCTTCCAGTGATTTAAATGCTAAATTTTTAAAGCTTATGCTGATATATGTCTCGGTATCATTTAATTCGTTTTATTCATAAAGCATCTTTGTTTTCTGCATGTATAAATACAGAGAAAATGTTTAATACGATGGACGTTCTGTACACAAAATGTCATTATTTACTTCCGCGATTTATATTCTATACTTCAGGGAAAAGCCAAAAATATCGTCTCCAACATAGAAAAGGAAGTTATTAAAAAGTTTACATAGAAATCAATGTTTTTACACTATACTCATTTCAATGTTCATCCTCTCACTTGTTAATTAAAAACATGAATCGCAAAAACTTTGAGGAAATGACGTTTCATTGTTAAATATCTAAATCATGAAAAGGCTTTTTAAAAAGACAAGTGTTAATGAAGCATTCTACTTTGATATCCCTAAAATGTCAGCTACGTATTCAAATTGTATCAAAAATTATCCTAAGCGCATATGATAAGTATGGACCATTGTTCATAATGGTTTATATTCATAATAACGTGATGTAGTTTTCTCCAAAGGCTGCAAAGCTTTAGTTACAGAAATCCTACTATGAAATATGTTTCAGCAAAGTTCCCTGTACAAAACGGAAGAAATAAAAAAAATATTTCCTTAATCTTAAATAGGTTTGTTTTAGTTGATATTAAGAGCAGCCATGTTTATCTTCTTTCTGAGTTGCTTATTGCCTATTTTCTGCACTGCAACAAATGGTTATTGTGGTGAGGGGTAAGTGTTACTTATTCAAAAATTAAGCTCGATGGTACACACAAATGAAATCATCTGTACAGTTTTTTTTATATACTTTTCTTTTTATGTCACTTTGAACGTGCAAGCAATATTATCGATATGTAACATTTTTTGTTAATACCCAATATTTTTTCAATATGGCAACTATCAGATTCGCTTTTCAATTAACAATGAAATATGGAGATAACGAGCAGTATTCAAGCTCATAGTCCATTTAAACAATAAAAATCGGGAGCAGAGCAAACACGAACCTCAAAAAAATCAGAAGCGGGATCAGGTGCCATGAAGGAGTGAGCATCCCCTGTCGACCGATCTCACCCGCTGTGTGCTCCCTGTCATGATCGGGAAAAAGGGAAATCCGTGGACAATTCAGTGTAAATAATGGCCTAACAATTATTGTGAAAAAGGTCAGTCAGCCTTTGACTAATTAGAGATAGATTGTTTTTACTAACAAGGTCATCGTATCGACCATAGAACTTGCGAAATGGTGACTTTAACGTAACTATTTATATTCTTAATTCATCAAATTGTTTGTCGATAGCTTGCGTCGTTTTGACATAAACCCCATATACAGGTGATACATGTAAGGGTGTATTGATTCATAATTAATGGAAGTTGACAAGAGAAAAATTGATGTCATCACGTTTATCATAAGCTTGGTTGTTAGGTTTCCATTAGTCTTTTTCTAGTAAATTATCAAAATTTGAAACAGATGTGTCGGACTCTGTGGTATCTTTTATTTCAAGCTCACTTGGACATATCGAATCGACATATGAATTAAATATGAAAATTAATTGACATCATTCTCTCTTTCTTTTCTTTTGGAGTTCGGCCTGGAGAGAGCCAAAGATCATTGGACAACTTATTGCTGTAGGGCATATTCGTTGATATAACAATGTTATACTCTCAGTAGGATTTGTACTCATATATTTCTTACAAATACTTTTTTCAGCGACGACAGTAAGGTTAAATGTTGTCCAAACTATAGAGAAGAGAGCGGTACTTGTGTTCGTAAGTAAACTAAAGCATTATCTTTCTCTATCTCCCTCCCCTCTCTCTATCAAACACACACACACAAGCACAAACACACACACCCTCACCCTCACACACACACCCTCTCCCTCACACACACACACACACACACACACACACACACACCCTCACACACACACACACACATCATCTGTTTACTTCTACATATACAAGTAAAAAGCGCAGTTTTGCTATATGTTGTTTGACAAATTTTAGGAAGAAATGTATGATTTTTTTAGCATGTCCAGCTGGTTGGTATGATACAAATTGTTCAGAAAAGTGTCCTGTCGGTTTCTATGGACTACTTTGCGATGGAAAGTGTCCTCCAAATTGTACTGATTCGTGCGACCATGTACATGGATGCAAAGATGGTAATTTCATGATTACAAAAAACAAATTATGTTGGAAAATTAAAAATAATGTATGAAGAGTAAAAAAAAAATGATTATATAAAAAATAAACGATTAACCCCAGGTAGCACAAAACATTTTCAAAACATTTTATTAAAGTTGTAAAAAGATTTTTTTCAAAACATTTCAGAGTAAACATTTTAAAAATGTTTTAAAAACATTTTCTATTCTCATTGTAACATTTCAAAAACTTTTAAAATGATTTCAGAAAGCTTATGATAAAATCTTTCATGAACATTTCAATAAAATGTCTTTGAAACGTTTTAAAAATGATTCCAAAGGTATGTCTAGTTTGCAGATATTAACGATTTTCATATTTCGTTTTAAAAACGTAAAATAATGCATTCCTTTTCTATAAAACTAAAAAAATTTATATAACGTTTCTGCAACATTTTGAAGGAACATTGTCAAAATGTTTCAAAAAAATTCTTAATATTGCTTATAGTTAAACATTTAAATATTTTCTGCCTAGGTCGTGAAAATGTTTTTAAAACATTTATGAAAATGTTTTCTCTTCCTACAACTGGAACATTTTATTGATAATTTGTGCAACATTTTTTGGAAACATTTTCTAAATGATTTTAAAACATTGGCATATCATTGTCGACATCAATACATTTTGTAATTTTCAGCGTATGTTGTAAGAATGTTTTTAGAACATTTAATTTAATGTTTTCTTTCTATAGACTCAAATTTCATTTACCATTGCTGCAACATTTTGTAATGTTAATTACTTTCAAAGTGTTCGTAAAACATTCAAATCATTTATGACCTCGATGTGAAAAATATTTAGAATATCCAGAAAAAGATGGTGTTGAAATGAGAAATTGTATTTTTTAAAAAAAAGTTCGAAAGCATTATACCGGTAATTTTCTCTTTGTTTCTTCAACATTTCCTTTTAATTCTTATCGAATTAACAGGCAGCTATAAAGTTCACTAAAGAAACAAAAGATACTTTAAAAAATAAATGAATAAATGAATGAAAAAAAAAATAAATAAAAGCATAAATAAATAAAAAAAACTTTTTAAAAATCTTGTCTTCATCATATTTGTGATCCACTCCCAAAATTTAACTCTAAAGCATTAGATTAGGATTGGTTCACTGGTCAGTTTCAGTGCCATGGTAACCTTGTTATGTAATTTTCCTGCTGGGCAGCGCGTTACAGAGTATAGTGTTTGTGGCTTATCTAGGTCAAAATTTGAATTCTGGTAAACAGGATGTGCGCGTTTTCTTGTTTCCGATTTGAAAGAAAAGACGTTGCATCATATAAGCCACCAAAAAAAGCGCTGGATTATTAACTCTGATTGGTGAGTATAATTCCTCTATCATAGACTTAAAAAGATCATTTAAAAAAATTACTTTTTCTACTACCAGTGCATGATTGTATTTTTGTATGCATATGTGTAGCAAAGACAAAGCATTATAGGTATTTGAATTGAATACTTACTATAGGCAACAAATTTATGTGTAATGTTAATCATCATACATGTATAAAATGATTATTAAAAAATAAAATTGCTTTGCAGCTAGATGTCAATTCCAACAACATATGATCAACATGATCAACATATTTGAATTTCATTCAAATTGCCACATTCATAAGACCCGCCTTTGGTGGAGGCCTGTTTATTCTTTCAGAAGAAAGGATTTCCGTGATTCTGTTCTTTTAAAATTCAGTGAATGGATTGGATAATGTTTTTTCCTTTCAAAAAAACCTCGTGGGTTAAAACAAAATGTCAAACTTGTACCGGGAATGGAGATTAAATGTGATTTACATATTGAATATGTGTTTCTATTAAAATAAAAAAAAATAAATTCATTCATTTAATTTTTTTTTGTTTTATTCTTTGAAAGTTATAATTAATTAACGATGAAACATATTTAACATGTTAAAAGCATGCACTTCAAGTTTAAAAAAAATCATACAAACGAAAACTTTAAGTAACATTTAAAAAAGAAAGTTTTGCAAAATTTGGCTGAAATGTTTTAAAAACGTTTTAAAAACCATACAAAATTACACGATTAAAACATTTTTGAAAATGCTTTCGCAACATTTATAAAATGTTTTAAAAACATTTTAAAAATGTTTTTGTGCTAGCTGGGTACTTATTCTTATAAAGATTACGATAACCAAAAAATAGGTTGCTTGCTAAAAGTTAAACAAAGAATATATAAGAAATGAATATGGGTTCCATGCATAAATTCTTATCTTTACAGCTAATGGTTTCGACAAAATTACAACAGTGTCTGGTGGAATTTTTTACACAGGTCTTGACTGAGTTCCCTATATGGAAGTCCCTAACGATAAGTGAAAAAATGCTAGAAATACACGTCGTAAACTTATTTTTTTTTCTAAAGAATAATTTTTAAACAATCACTAATAGCCAAAAGAAACAAAAGTATAAACTCTCTGTATATCCGGATAAAGACACAATTTTCAGATGAACAACATGCGAGAATCATTTATTTAATTTTGAATTATTACATTGAAAAAAAGGTACAATTTTCTACTCAAAATGAAAGAAAAAAATAACTGCAATAGAATTGAGGGGCTTTACATACCTTGGACATATCCTCAATTAAATTATACTTTTACATGCCTTATTATCATTGTTGGTAAAAGTCTTCAAGCTCAGCTATTCACGTTCACACAGTCATGTAGATGACACGAAATTTCCCTTCGTATCTTAAGAGATTAGATAGACTTGAGCATGGCTGCAAGCCTGCAACTTACAGATGGCATGCAATCGAACATCACCAACATGCCTGTACCAAGATAAAAGGACAGGAAGATAAAATAAATTAGAGTCAGGTTATCTTGAACATTCACAGATTTTTTAGAATGTAATTATATACCAGAGTTGGGGGATTTAGTATATATAGAAAATAAGACTGTGGTATGAGTTTCCTTTGAGCCACAACACCGCTGGACTGAAAAAAATATAGTTCATGTGTTTGTATCACATCCATTGGTTAAGTGCTGGCAAATTCGTAACCCATTTTATTTTCATCTGAAGCTTCTCAGTTCTACCTGGTTAAAGTAGTCAAGTGAAATAGGATATGTAATTCCAAAACATGCATCTGATTGACAAAATTTGCATTTAAAATGTTTTGAGAGAAAACATTAATTACTAATTTGTTTTCTAGAGGAACTATATAAAAAAAAAAAACTTGCTTTATTTTTTTTCTCTCGTATGTGTATCTGAATGCCCTTATGTGATGGTTCAGGGTTCAGAAAGATGTGCAGCTTTCTTATTGTATTAATAGCGATCTCTTATTGTTCTTGACATCCATAAAAATAAATCACCGAGATATGTTTTACATACAGTGTATTAAGTGTAGATGAGGACATTCTTTATACAGTACTATTTGTTACTATAATTATTATGATCATCATACTCCCCCCCCCCCCCCCCCCCAAAGAAAGGAACAGAAAATGTTTCACTTTTCACGTTCTTTCGATCGACAAAATTGTAATTATTAAATAAAGAGTACTACGTTGGCATGGCAACTTTTCATATAAATTTGCATTACTAGGAACTCCGTATCTTGTTATCACGTACTTAAATGCCATCATGATATCTGACAAGTCGACATGAGTGTCCAAGAAGCAAACACAGTGCATGTTTTTTGACTAAACCATAAGTCAACATGATTTTCTGAAGTTGACTATTCAGATGCTATGTCGACTTGTCAGATAATTATGTCAACTTGTAAGGTGTTATGATGACTTTGCAGAAAATAATGTTGATTCGACTTGTCAGATCGTTATGTCTACTTGCCAGATTATAATAACGACTTGTTAGAAAGTTACGTCGACTTGTCGGATGATGATGTTGACTTTTCAGAAAAATATGTTGAATTTTTAATTAAGTGACAAGTCAAGAAAAAGGTCTGACAAGTCAAATATTTATATGACAAGGCGACAGAAACATCAAACAAGTCGTCAGAAACATCTGACAAGTGATGACAAAAACATTTTTTTTTCAAATATCATGAAAAAAAAAATAAATTTAATCTTATGTATGATTATTTAGGTAAAACAAAACATTTTAGCTGCGTAAAGTTTCATTTTTATTCAAATATTCTTGAAAGATATCATAATTTGACCATACAATGCAGAAAGAGCCATAGCTCATTTGATAGGCAATTTGCCTAATCTATTAATGATTTCTTAAATATATTTTTAAGCAAAATGTCATACAATCTCAGTTTAAACATGTGTAAACTCAAATTACACAACAATGATATTTAAATGTTTATAGTTCTTTTGTATGATAAATATGAAAACCATCGAGTTTGTATAGAGTACATGTACATGTATATAGTAAATATTTAGGCATCTATCTAAACGATGACAAAATTTTGCCAAAGCCCACCTTTAACCAGAAAAACATTTGGATAATTTTACTTGGATGCATGTACGGCTGCACTTTATAACGTTTATATAAATTTAGTTTAGGATTTAAGTTTTGGTTTTGGTATTCATATTAAAAATGATGAAAAAATAAATATTCAATTTCCCTTCTCATATTACATCAAAATTTGACAATATATGGAAATTACATTTTTATAGTGTACGTAAAAACGAATTTTTTCATTGTAGATAACGCAAATTATAATAGCAGCAGTTTCCCTTCATTTCTTCTTTCGACAAAACTTTGGATTATTGCGGGATCCGTAGTTGGAATCACTTTAATCATCTGTATTTTCATCGTGGTGTGTAAAACTCGGTATGTATTTAAAAGTACGTGACCATTTGTATTTTCATCTTGTAGTCAAAACAGTAAATATATTTCACATGCATCAGCATATTTTTTAGGGTGTTAGAATATGGTATACAGTTCAAAGCTCAAGTCTTTATAATATTTTGTTAACTTAGGAATGTGAAACACAGTATCCATTACAAATGATTTAATTGGCAAGATTGATAAGAGGAAAATTGTTTTCGAGCTATATTCTATAAAAAAAAGACTTTTTTTTAGCCACAAAATCAAAGAGAAAAGCTCATGGAGACCGACAGTGACAACATACAATGGTACGTTATCATTCATTCTTATCCTTAGTCTCTGGAGAAACTGTAGCTCTACTGGTGTACTTATAAAAAGAAGAAACATCTGAATTTGAAACTTAGTAGCTATGATAGCAACAATAATAAATAAAAGAATATCAATCTACTTGTGCACCAGGTTTTATTTAACACATACCAAAACATGAGAGGATTACTCATAGCATTTTGAAAGAAATCCAGCATTTTCCTGTTTCATTATCATTCCAACATTGTATATCTTACTCAAAACCCAGTAAACTGAAATATGTATCGCAGTTTAGTCTGTTTACAAAGTCCTAATACAATTTGGCAAATTCTGCCTAATTGTATACTAAGTTTTAATGAAGTTTGACTAAAATTGTAGGAGCTGTAGCATCCTCTGTGAATGATGTCTATTTTTGTAATCATATTAAAACATCAAAATTTAAAAAAAAAATGAAAATTATGTTTCTTAATGTCGCCTGCTCGTGTACCGTCTTACTGAAATCAGACAAACCTGTAGAAGTGGAATTTTGAAATAATATCACAGAAATTTCTATGTCAAGTAGACACATGGCCACACCCTTTGTTAAAATCAGAAACTGATATATGGAACTATGTATCTAAGTATACTATAATTTTTTAATTCAACTTAAACTTTAGGAGGAGTAGCAATTTTAGAAGAATATCACCAAAATAGTCATTTTTCCAGTTAACATGGCATCACATTTCGTTGAAATGAGCAAGGAATTAATATGTTTCTTATCATAATTAACTTGGGTACCAATTCTTATTGAAATCAGACCAAACCTTTCGGAGGAGTAATATTTTAAAAGAATTTCACAGAATCATTTCTATTTATTAAGCATGGAATCACCTTTTTTCTGAAATTAAAAACCAATACCGAGAATAATTATATCTCTTAATATAGTCTACCTGTATACAATTTCTCACTTAAATTAGGCTAAAGGAGTAGTGTTTTGAAGAATTGTTTACAGACAGACGACATCTAGACAATTAGACAGACGGGCGATTGACACCTTACTAATGCCTAGGCTCTTCTGATCTTTGTCCAATAGAGCTAAAATATGTCTTGTATATAACAATGGCTTCGGAAGCAGTTTGTAAATTTGAGCTAAAATTCAATTACCAACAAACACTGTGTAAATTTGTGACAGGGAGATGGGGGGTGGGTTCGAATTGTTTTCCTCAAATTACAGACTTAATCTCAGATGATGCGCACCCGCCTTACTACTATTTACCTCTTTCTCTTACTCAGTGTAGATTTTATCATTTGATAGGTTAAATTTAATAAATTTTTCAATGAATATGCATTTCTTTCTTTTCAGATGAAAATCATTTCAGTAGTTACACACAATCATCATCAACCTGTTGTGAACCACACAAGTCAAAATCAAGTTTACGCCTTCCATGTAAAGACTGTGCAATGAATCCAAAAGGAAGAGTTTTAGTTAGTGATTTACCTAGCACTTCTTCAACCATCTCTGAGGAAGAATCCCCTGCTTATCTGTATTCCTGTATTAAAAAGGAAGAAGAAATTGGCAAATTAAATGGTACAAGTCATCAACCCTTAATAAGGCAGTTTTCTTCCTTTAAAAGCAAACCCAAAGGGAAGGATTTGACAGAAATTCCGTATGACATCGATGAAAAATACACAATGGTGAGAACCGGATCAGTGACTGACCACTCTGCGCTGATAAACACCGGGCGTTTTACACTGACAGACAATGAAAGTCAAGGATATTTTGTTCTGGAGCCCAGAAGTCCACAAGATGGTCGTGAATCAATTAATCTTGAAAATTTACCTCCCCCTCGTTTTAGTGTTTTAGGAACTGGGATGATGTAGTGTAATCGATTGCCTCTCACCAACTTAAAAGAATATATATGTATGCAGATAGAAAGAGCTATATAAGCAATGACTTTTTCTCCTATTGTTTCTTTTCTGTTGACTCAAACATTTGATTAATGTTAAATGAAAATAAAAAAATGTCAATTTGGTTTAAATAATATCCTGAATATCCTGATTTTTTTTTTTTTTTTTTAGATGTTTTTAGATGTTATCAGTGTTTCATTGCGTTTATATAATAAGTGATCATTTACAAAGGGTTTGATAAAAATGAACTTTATGTACTAGTATTTTTTTTCTCATTCAAGTACTAGTATTCAAAATATACCAACGGAAAAGAAGAAACTGTGCATCGGTGAATTTAGCATAGAACTCAAAGCATATTGATTATAGTTATAAGCTGTTTAATAGTCGATACAGTGATATAAATGGTAGTAGACTTGAACTCGACTCTATTACACGGACTTTTCATGGTTGGCAAGCACATGTTGTTTTTGTCGTAATCGTTTCCGCATTATATCTCGGGCAAAATTTTTTTGTGTCCAAGAGTGCGAGACATTTTTCAAGACTGGATTTGTTCAGAAAATCACTTTGGTTTCACAAGAAGCTGTAATTGTGCTATGCCAAGGCTAAATGAAAATCAACGTCTTCGTGCTATTGGAATGTTGCGGGCTGGGATGCCCCAGAAAGTTGTTGCACAGCAATTTGGTGTTCACAGAAACACTATCCGGTCTTTATAGACGTTTCCAACAATTTGACAACACTTTGGATCGACCACGTTCGGGGCGTCCCCATGTAACGTCCGTTCGCCAGGATATTCATATCAGAGTCATGCATCTATGAAATCGTTTTCAGGCAGCAAGTTTGACTGCTCGTAGCATTCCTGATCTTAGGCGCATAATACAGGCCTGTAGGAAGCAAATTCAATTTGGGGGGGGGGGGGGGCACAGCCATACATTTTCAATTGACAGTTGTGGGGGCGCTACCAAAAATTTCCTGACAAGGCAAAAAAAAAAAAAAAAAAAAAAAAAAAAAAGAAAAGAAAAGAAAAAAAAGAAAAAAAAGTCATCTGACGTTTTTATTCAGGGGGCACAAGCATATAGTATCTATGTAGACGTCCTGCGATACGTCCAGTACTGCTCTACCGTCATCGAACTGTACGATTGATTAGCATGGTTTTGGATATATTTGATATTCCGATTTCAAGACTGGGTCAACGTTTTGTTCACAGATGAATCGAGACTTCAGTTGACAGCAGTGACGATCACCGGAGGGTTTATCGCCGGGATGGGGAGCGTTACTCGGATGCTTGTGTAGTACAGCGTCTGGGGTGTTGGGTGGTATTTCAGCACGTGATAAGACCCCTTTACAGATAATCAATGCAAACCTGACAGGCATTCGCCATAGGGATGAAATAATCCAACGTCATGTGATATTGTTCATACATGTGCAGTGACAACAAAATCCCATTACCCTGCAACAGAATAAAACCAGACCGCGTGTTGCCCATTTTGACAGAGACTTTATTGCCCAGCAGAATGTCAATATCCTGCCCTGACGATTTAGGCCAGGAATTGACCAATGTCTTGAACAACATTCCCCGAGCACGTTTGAACAATTTTGATTCATCAATGAGACACAGTTGTCAAACATGAGTGAATGCAAATGGTGGCCATACGCGGTATTAAGTTTGTGAATCGCCTTCCAAGTACCAGTGTCTTTCTAACGTCCTACAAGTTACGTTTTATGACGTAAACACATATTAACTCCGCATATTTGTAAACAATGCATTTGTGAATCATGCTACTGAATTAAATATATAGCCATTGATATTTTATTGTTTCATTTTGTACTTTAAGTAATGCACAGCTTCTTTTTTCTGCTAGTATTTCGAAGGCATTCAATTGATTTCGTGCAGCAGATGTAGATTCAAAACCTCTAAACAAGAGCACCATACGTTGTTTTAGCTAATTAATTAAAAATCTGCCTTCATTGGGAAATAAAATATAAGGAAACTATCATTATGATAATTAATTCATTACGGATATACGGATTGATTGTTTAAAGTTGTTTTGAAGCCATTAAAAAGGAAACAAAAATGTTTATATTAAACAAACAAAATGTTTTTTCCACGCTCCTACTATGAGAAAGTTTTGTTTTTACCTCACCTTGAAAATTACAGGGGTTAGATCTGTACAATCATGTGATACAGAATGGATTGATTCCAGAGCTTTACGTCTTCCAGCTTTCTTCTCCATTCCTTTACCACTAATAACTAAGATTTATTAGTACATAATTTGTATTGTTTGTATTTTGCTTTCTTGATAATTTTGATGCAAAAATGCCTTTTACTTGTGTCTCATGGACTCAGAACTAAAAGAAAATCATGGTATTTTAATTCTAGATTGAAATATATAATTCATATATTTTCAATTTCATAACTGAATAAAAAAACACAAGTCATATAGCAAGTCTATATCAATCCACATGATGAAGTCGGCATCTTGTAAATTCTATGGTCGTTATAATAACTTTGTAAGGAAATACAGCTTAACAATTTGTTGACATTTTGATTGAAATATTTCATACCCTTGTTTTTATACGAAAATGACTACGGGATATTCCGTCTATCTGATTAATACCTGTACATAGGGCTCACGGCGGGTGTGTCCGGCGGAGAAGGGATGCTTACTCCTCCTAGGCACCTGATACCATCCCTGGAATTTTTTATACCCTGTTCACAGTTTTGGATTGTTTGTACTTGTTTTTGTTTTGAGATCGATCACTGTTCGTTATCTTCACCTATTTCATATTCAAAAGTGTATATCCAGCATTAAGTATTTTGATAAAGTAATAAATCTATGTTGCAGTAAATATTTTCTCAATATAATGAAATTTGATCCCTATGAAAATTTATGAAACTCAATATATAAGAAGAAATATTAATGCACAGCGGTTAAAAATCGCTGTGTGAAATGTTTTTGTTAATTTCACCTAGGTTCTCCTTCTTAAAGCAAATAAAAAAGAAGGAAAAACATAATCAATTGAAAAATAAGACATGAATGTACTAGTCTTGTGATCCTACGAATTTTGAAATTTTCGAGTATGTACGGAACTGGATTTCAATAGTGAAAATCTGATTGAAAATAAGTATCTGCAGTCATAATTGAGACACATATCAGGTATTAATTAATTTTGGAAAACTTTTGGTTAACGTTTTCTTATCCAAAGATACCATCGTCAAATGAAAGTTTCCTAAAACTTGTACGTTTATTGTAGCATTTGACGCTCTTGGCCATGCGTTCTTAAGAAAATTATTGGTTTTTAAGCACGTGTTCAAATTCAAGCATTGATGTCATGAAGCCATTTTTCGATTCCATATAAATTGATTAAAGGTTAATATGATTAAGAAGTCAGTAATAATATGATAAATATTTCGAAGAAAAAATATCTGACAATGGCCAAAAAGGATCGCCGTACATGTATCAATGACATGTAATCAGCATTTTGCCGAATGTGAATGTCAAAGAAAAATACAAAGCTCCAAATATATTTGACATGAAAAGTTTTTAATTGTATTCCTGTTAATCTTTAGCTAGAAAAATGCACTGTTAATGATATGTCAAAAAATTCTGTTGTTCGATTAATGACCAAATCATTTTTAGACTATTTTATAAAGGATGCTTTTTGTTTAAAAAAAATCCTACTGAGGCTGAATAAGATGATCATTTAAAAAAAAAAAGTAAAAAGAAGTTTTGTTTCACAGTGTAAATACAATTAATGTGATGAAAGTCTGAGTGAAGCTTAAACCTTGATGCGTAAAATAAGTGTTGATCTTATTTATGCATTGTAATTGGGTCATGCACACTAATTGAGGATATCACAAAATTCTTCTGTATTAGGGCAATGTAAGATTTCTTGACCTTTGCTGCAAAAGGTCAGGGCAAGACCTTTGTTTGTGGGGCGAAACAAAAAAAAATTGCTGCAATTATACACATTTATTAACTATGTATTAACCACAAAATATTGATTTACAAAGGGTGCAAATCAATTTTTTTAAGAATGACACACTTGTAAGTGTTCTAGACTGATCAGCAGTGTTGTAGACTGATCATCAGTGTTATAGACTGATCAGCAGTGTTGTAGATCGATCAGCAGTGTTGTAGACTGATCAGCATGTTGTAGATTGATCAGTAGTGTTGTACACTGATCAGCAGTTTTGTAGACTGATCAGCAGTGTTTAAGTTTTATTAAGTTTTATCATAGAAAACACGTATTATTTGAAATGTTTTTAGAATTGCTCCCTTTCATTCCATTTATTTTAATCTTCAATAATTGGTTAATTCTATCTCATTAAAATTACACATGAAAAATTAAAATTTTGACTAAAGTCTATAAATACTTTATAACCCTGGGACTAGGTGAGCACTACTGGTCTGCCGACAGCTGAATACCTTTCAGTCTGGGAATCAGCAGCTGTGACCTAGAGTTGGCTCATAGTATGTTTTCAACCTGAAGAGAATCAAATGACAGTTAGTGAAAAGATGTCTATATTTTTATAGCTTACCTTACTACACGTAAAAAGAGTAATGCTGTAGAGATGTTCTCAAACTTGACAAAAGCTTGTATATCTGATAATCTTTAGCTAGAAAAATTTATTGTTTATGGTATGTTTAATGAATCTCTGTTTGATTTAATTTATTCATGTTGCAACTCAAACATGTTCAGAATATGTTATTTGAATGAGATGCTTATTGTTCAAGAACTTACTGAAAAGAAGTCTATATTTTTACTGCTTACCTTACTACACGTAAAAAGAAAACAAGATCAAATAAGATAGTGGTTTGACGGAAGGATTGGATTTAGAATGTGGATTCTACTTGCTTACCATGCATTGAAATTATCCTTTATGAAGACTGCAGGGCTGTGGAGACGTTACAACAGTCCAACACGTCTGAAGGATGTATATAATTCGAACGTTGAAATAGGACCTAGAGTACTTTTAAAACATACTAGATGAAATCCCGCGCAAGCGCGGGGAATTCAATTTATACCTCAACCGACAGAAGAATTTCATATAATATATATTGTAGTTTCTACTGACAGCCTACAGGCTTATAGAATGAATAAATACTTTGTTCAAAATCCCGCATTTAGCTTTGGAGCAGAAGTAGATGTACGTCACAATCCTCCCCCCCCCCTTTTCTTTTGTAAAAATTTGAAAAATAATTTCATTAATTGACGTTTATATTGTGAAACGTGTTATACTATGTTATGAATATTGTACTTTATTTACTCTTATTTCATTTCCGTCAAGTATAATTTTAAGCAGCGAATATGCAAATTTTAATGAGTAAGGTAAGTCATTATGGCAGAAAGGTTACAATTCTTAATACCTTATTTAGGGCTTTAACTTTCTGGAAGCCTAATGCTTTCTCCATCTTTTTGAAAAATGACAAAACATATTTTTTGCATGTATCAAACCAGTAACAAAATTTTTCCTGTTAGAAATTGCATCATAACATTTTAATGCAGTTCATTATACCATTATAAATGCATCCCGGTATTCAAATTTTATTACTTTTCCCTCGTTTTTAATTATCAAGTTGAAAATAATGATAGATGTAATCTAATTTAAAAAGGCATTTCTCCTGTGAAAGTACATGACAAAGAAAACACAAGTATTATATAGTATTATATAATAGATCACAGTGTTTGTTTATAGCCTGTTATGGTAGAGGAATTCCTTAAATGTTTATTCCGGAAAACTGTCCTTAAACACAGCTGTTAACTGTTCGGTCCTTGAGTTTAACACAATATAAGAGAGAATATGAAGAGACAGAGGCATATTGCTTTTGTAACATTTCTTCTGTGTGATTTTATTAATATGACTTTAACAAATGGAGTATGTAGTCGGGAAGGGTATGTTTTTTCAGCGTTTTGTAAAAAAAGATATTTTTCTTTCATATTCATGAGGGGAAGTAAAATCTACATGAGACGAGTTGATATGAACAACAGTTTGTAACATTGATAATTCTATAATACCGTTATAGTACGAGAATATGCATAAAATTTCAAGCACTGAAACTATTGTATTGAACTTGTTTATTAAAATTTAGATGAAATAGAATACATACTGATCGGAAAACCAAATTCGGCTATAAGCCTTAGGATTTATAATTATACTTTTTGCAATATTCTATGAGAATTCCCACTGAATAAAAATTTATTTGAACACGAAAAGAGCCTTTTCCTTATAATTTAATTTCATTCCTCGTTTGTGTTAATTGGCAACATTTTTCCTGGTACAATTTAAATTTCAAGAAGCATTCATTTGTTCTAATGACAAATCTTGTCTGAAAAATAACAAGTACTATGTACTTAGATACATGAGATAACCAACAACTTAAGATCTAGAGTAAGCCACTTACAGTAGAACACGCGAATCAAAATATTGAATGACCAAGAGTACTTATGACTCAGTTATTTATATCCTCTTAACCACTGAGATCATATGTTTATTACATATATGTATATACTTTCCTTCAGTACTATAGACTCAAAATTTGGACGTTCAGCCTTCCATAAGTTTTAGTGCACTACGTTATTAGATCATCATTGCGTACTTGAGATAAAGAAAACTTAAAATGAAATACAGCTTTTATGGTGTGTCCCCCCTAAAAAACATGTCTGCTTAACTTTGATATCATTTTGTCTAGTTCTGTAAATTTGTTTTATGTCGCTAACGAAAACCAAAATCTATGTTAATCTCCTTTGTCTGAAAAGCATACATTTTACATGATTTGATTTATTTTATCATATCTAGTTCATCGTCATCTAGTTCGTAGTTTTTGTTTTTGTTTGTTTTGTTTGTTGTTTAACTTCCCTCTTGAGAATTTTTCACTCATATGGAGATGCCACCACTTGCCAGTGGAGAGCTGCAAATTTTGTCCTATACTCGGCACTTACGGCCATTGAGCAGTTAAGGATCTACCTACTGCGACACGGTACCTCGGTTTATACAGTCTCATCCGAAGGACCGGTCTCCACGTCCCACAGTGGGATTCTCTAGTTTGTAGTTGATCTATATTTCTAGTTCATACATGTATATCAAATTTACAAGAAGGAAAATATTTTGTGGTAGCTAATATCAACATAACATTTTTCATACAAGAAACTTAAAGCAAGACCTTTTAATTTTTTTAATGTTCGTCGACACATTTTGTCAAACAATTGTCAAGAAGGGGTCAACCTTAACTCTTCAAATGTGTTTCAAGGAAGCAAATAACAATTTGCTCAATATTACGGTGAATAGAACATTGTAATGCTAAATTATGTAGTCCTAAATACATGTAAGAAATTGGGATGTAAAGGAAGTGAAATTAAAACTGTTATGTTTGCTCGAAGGTAAAGCACCAATTACAAACAAAGGAAGATCAAGGGAAACAGTTTATGTAACACAAAGAAAAAAATGTAATAAGACAGAATGAATGAAGAGTTATTATTTGAGGTTAAAAAAAGGAAAAAAAAAATTGAAAAATTTGGTAATGCTCTGAAATTTTCTGTATGTCCACATACAAGAAGGTTAAAGAATTGCTAATTGTCTTCATGAATATGAAACAGATATAAGAAAACGGAATTTCCCTAGTAATTAAATTTGACAAGGGCAAGAAAATTACTCAAACATATATCTTTATAAACCTTTAATTCATTTCTATCTTTCTTATTCTAGAGAACCTTTCAAATGTTGTCCAAACAACTATCAAATCAACATGACCTGTGTTCGTATGTATTAAATAACATGTATATATGTATTATTATTTTTTTTTTCTATGCAACATGTTTAAAAATGTAATGTAATGTCAAAATATTTTTTATTCGTCTCTTCCAATTGCAAAGGAACACAAAGTTTGGTAGAAGCAATAAGTAAGTCAGTTTAAGATATTTTGCTGCATTAAAGTTTTGTTCGTGTAAAGCAAAAAAATTCTATTTCTTTAATCAAAAATTAAAACATAAAAAAATGCGAACACCACAGAGCATTCTCTCCAGATATGTTAACCTCACATAAAAACACAGTTCTTCAAATTAAAATAATGAACTGATTATAATTATTCAGTTCACAATAGTGAAAATCCAATCACTGTCAATGACCTAAATACGAGGGTTGTTCGGAAAGTTCGTGGTCTTCTGTCATATCTTTTTAATTTAACGTCATATGTTATCCAAATTTGGTAGAAATATTTTAACAATAAATTTAAATGATTTGTATTAAATTTTTCAAAAATATCATGATTTATTTAAAACTTATCCAGAATTAAAAACTGCAAAAATCGGATCGCGGCGCAGGTCAAAATTTAGTAATTTACAAACAATACACTAAATAATGTCTGTAGTCATCTTCTCTGTAAAATGGAGCAAAAACGAAAAGATCCTAGACGGTTAAATTAAAACCTGTTACATCGATTCGTATTCCAAATTATGGCTTAATATTTTGCTTCGATAAAAAGAAATCAATTTGAGAAGATAGGTAGTCCTCATTGAAAACGAAAAAAAAGATGACGTTGTAGAACTTCAAGTGCACGGAGCAGCAGATAACGATGAAGTTTTGTGTTATACTCGGGGAAAATCCTGAATAAACGCTAAAAATGTTGGAGGAATCAGAAAATATGCCACAAGCGAGTAGTGCATGTGTTTGTAAATGGTACAGGCGGTATTTGAGTGACAGAGACTCTATATCGGACGAGGACAATCTGTGAAGAAACGGTTAAACTGTAAAAATCTGAACGAAAACTTTTAAAAGTTGGAACGTCATGGAAAGACGTAGGCGCTTCAGAGTTGCTGATCTTCTGAAAGTACAGTTAAGCGTTAAAAGAAATTAAACATTAACAAAGGAAATTATAAAACGAGAACAATTGTTAGAAAAATAAATGTCAAGTGATTGAAAAGGGTTTTTAATACGTGGGTATTGGACTATACTGTGTGAACGTATAGGGATAGAATTTTTAAGAAACTCTTGACGCTATGTTTTTGACGTGACATTGCTTTCAAGTGTGCGCCGTGGTTACAAAACATGCTGATTTTAAAATGAAGTTAATTAATTTCTATCAAATCGAATGGAATGAAATTTCACAGATCAACAAAACAAATATTTTTACACATGATATTGTGCTTGTTTTAAATTTCTTTGAAGTAGTATAACATAGATTGACATCGTCCACGAACTTTTCGAACAACCCTCGTATATGTCCTTTTTAAATCGACAGGAAGTTATCTTAAAATTGGGATAAAACAATAACTTCTTATTGTTTAACTTATTTCTTTTTTGACACTATATTCAACTGTTCCTTCATTTGTAACATGCATCTCTGTATCAAGAAGACTTAAGGATCAAGTGATACTCTTTAAATGTATGTACACACTATATAAAAATAACAAAATGTATATACGGGTGGAAATATGTACTTACGAGGCCATATTAAAACATCACTTTCCTTATTTATTGTTTGTTTTAAGTCACATTAGTGCAACATACCTTAGTGATTTGTCGTTTATTAAAATGGAGAGTGAAGGCGGTTTCTTGAAATGATGCGATATAACAAGAACTGTGAGTGGGGTCCGATGCAGTACACAGAAATGTTAGAGAATGAGAAGTTCCATAAATGAGTTTTTATTAAAAGGAATTCGCATTGGGAATTGTACATAAAGAGATAAATTTGCTCTTTACAGAATGCCCACCTGGACGTTTCGGCATTAACTGTTCAGATGATTGTCCGCCAATTCATTATGGCAAGAATTGTGCATATCTGTGCAATTGTAGCGACAGTTACGAATGTGATGCTGTAACTGGATGTAAGCTTGTGACTACAGGTACGTGTGTCTCTTTCCTAGAATTTGTTCACATCGCCTATGCATTTCTCTAAGTTTTGAGATGTTCATACTCTGAAGTTGATATAAGGAGGATGCTTGAGTTCCTCATGATCAATAACTACATGTATATGCAGTTAGCTTTTGCAGGTCATATCTTTACACAATATGTTGGAATTCCCATGAGAAATAATTGTGTCCTTTATTACTTGTAGTTAAACCTGTTTCTGTATTCTCACAAAGGAGACTTTGTTAGAAAATATACGATATGATATGAAGTTTTTTGCCTTTAATTCAATATTTATGTTTCAATACATGTTTATTCAGATATATCGCAATTTTTAGCAATATTTATCAATTTTCGTTCTTTCTAGATTCGACATTCTCGAAATAAAAGCAACAAGACTGTGACATACCTGTTTTATATTTTTATATTTTACCAGATTAAGGCGTTGATAGCAAACTAAAAGATAAAGTTGATGATCAACATTGTGGCTTCAACTTTTCTACCGTCAATTTTCCTAATATGTGTATTGAATATATGCCCAGTACAGTTCTGTATGAAAAGATAGACAGTTCGAGTCCCTTAAGTGCCGAAAACTGTGTGATATTTTTATCATACAGAATTGTATAAGGCAAATATCGTACCTAAAACATTGATTTGTCTAAGATAGTCTATTATAACAAAAGACAAAAGTGTTAATGACCACTGAAACAATTCTTTCAAGAATGCAATGAAATGTATTCAGTATATATTTAGGGAGTCAGCTTATTAAGCTGGTGGTTATTTCAATTTTTTGTTTTGCAGTGGTTAAGTTTTTTGAAATCAATCATTGATTAATGATGCTTATTAGAGAGTCTAATTCGCGTTTATGCTTTCGATCACATTTCGCTTTCGCGCAGCTTCCTCCATGGTTAAATTTTCAAATGTGGAGAACCCTGCAGCTACTCTGCAGTAGGTATTTTAAGTAATTTGATATGTCTAATACGAAAAGTGAGGACAACATTTTTCTACCTTAAAACATACACGAAGCTTAAAGCAATGCATCGGATTATGATACAGACAATTTAGTGAATGATGTTTTTGAAATGGAAAGGAAAATGCTGATGTGAATTTTAATTTTAACATAACAACCACAGAAAATAAAGCAAATGCTGACAGAATATCAGGCCATTTTGTTTTTTTTTTTTTTTATGTTTAGCATCCACATGTTTGGTTTTTGACACTCCAGAGCACAAAGCAAACAAAATCGGTAATCTAGGAATTGATTATGTCGATGGAAACGTTGGAATTCTTTCAATTTCTTTCAAAATTAGTAGAAAATATGTCAAATTAAATACTTAATTTTCATATGTATTACTTTGATTTTGTAAAGGCATTTGATCTTTTCATGAGAAAAATAGAAAAATGAAATCAAATTCTTAGAATGTTGTTCTTTTTACGTCTTTGAAGTTTTACATCTTGTGTATTTTATTTTTTTGGCTTGTGTGTTTTCGATATTTTCTTAATAGGAGAAAGGGCTTTGAAAGACAGGTTGACGCTAAATGAAAGAATTTGGAGTGCTCCTATTTCAAGCAGTTCTGATCATGATTATTCAACCAAGATAAGGAATTTTGTGACCTATGGTCAACAGTAAATGATTGATAATCTATTGCTTAACGCCAAATCGGCCCTATTTCAGCCATATTTGGGCGTTAAAGATCATCTCTTATGACCAGTTTTTGAAGGTTTTTGGGTTTCTCTGGCGGCTCCCAGTTAGCTTACTCTTTTTTGAAAATCAGAGAAACGAACTTTGTGGGTCAAGGGGGTTGAAGCATGTCTTAAGACCTGTTTTTGTATGGTCTAGTCCATCGCATTTTCTTCCTTCCTGTTGCATTATATTCGGTTTGATTGGAAGTTTAATTTTTTATTTTCCAATTCTGTATGATCATTATTCTGTTTCAAAGTCATCGTTGTATACAGTCCTATTTTGAAGGATATCAGAACCGAGGCAGTCTAATATCACGATTAATATCAGACTGCTCACTAATATCGGACTGTCAATTTTTCTACTGCAAGAACAAAGGAATGACATCACAACAATGTTTTAAGTATTAATATATTATTGTAACATGCATATGCATATAGATTTATGTCGTTCAGAATCAATACACAGGAGCATATCCTGCGTCCGATTAATTTTTTAACCAAGACAGGATACTGACAAATTTGTCGATGTTACAAGGGTATCATCAATCTAGTTTAAGGTACAGTGTATTCAATGTATAATGAAGGGATATAGAAAAATTTCGAATTATTTTTATCTAGTTAAATATATATTGCAAGATAACGATGAAATTGAAATGAACTAAATTCACATGACTAATAACATATAAGAAGCCGTCCAGTTTGCACCTTAAACGTTTTTGAAGAGTTATCTGCCCTTGATGAAAAGAAGAAAATTTTAATTTTTTTCATAAATATCTGTGGTAAATGATTCATTTTATTTCATATTTCAATAAAGAGAGAGTTTAGGCATATTTTCACCAAGTGATTTGTATGAGGTTCAAATTACTTTTTACAATATCTTAGTAAAACATGCACTGCCCATAGACTTCAATGAAAAAATCAAGGTGCTATTAATTGGACAATAATCAAAATTTTGCAAATTCCTTTGGTGGAGTATTTTTATTTTATAACACCTTCAAAATGCTAATAATGATTAAAAATATCGGACCATTCATTTATTTGGTACAAAATATGGTAGTTATACATTGAATACCTAAAAGTCTTTATTTTGCAAAATTCTATAATAGAGAAAATACCTCGTTTGCAAGCATAACTTGTCGTTATGTCGAATGTTGGCCGACGTTTTAATAGAATTGCTAGACAACTGTTTCTTTTGTAAAAAAAAAAATTCTGCGGAATACTCCGTTTACATGTACCTAGTGAAGACAACGAGCTGTCGGAGGGCGTGAGGGTCGACATGGGATGCTTACTTCTCTATGGCACCTAATTTCACTCCTGATGGTTTCAGGGGTCCATGTTTGCTGTACTCTCAAACTGAATGTTCCATTGGAATTTTGAACATGAATACATTCAATCAAATTACTTTTAAAAATAACCAAGACGTGTTGGTTTTTCCTACAGTTTTTAAAAGCAACTCATCATAAATCCATTAAATAGCATTATATGTTCATAAGATAGAAATAATGGCTCAAGGAGAAGAAATCGCATTTTCAGAAGTTTTGAAATTTTAATTAAGTTCACATTTAAAAACACTTACTCGATTTAAAATAACAATTTTTTTTTATCGTTTCAGGGACAGGATACGGACTGGAAAGTGACCCTGTCCCTAACGATGATGGTGTTAAACCAGGTGTATTGGCTGCCGTGGTGATTGTTTTGATTGTCTGTGTAACCAGCATTATCGTTATTTCTGTTTTCCTTATAAAAAGGTAACAAAAATTGAACATTAGGTATAAAGATTTATTTTATTATTATTTATTCTTTCTCTCTCACTCACTCACACACATATCACTGTATATATGTGACATTTTAGGACATTATCAATTATAGATTTGAAATATTTTATTTATTCCAACGACCCCAAATAAGTCTTGTTTTGTTTCTATTTGCTTTACGTTCCGTCTAGATATTTTCTCTCATATTGAGATACCACCACTTACCGGTGGAGGGCTGCAAATTTAGACCTGTACTTGGCACTTACGGCTTTTGAGCAGTGAGGTATCGATCTGTAGCAGCACTTACTGCGACACGGGATCTCGGTTTGTTCGGTCTCTACGTCCCGCAGTGGGATTCGAAACCCGCAACGAAAGGCTAAACTCCTTACTCCGCCACTCTAGATCTAACGCTCTTACCATTGCACCACGCGGGGACTACTACCCCAAATAAGACGTTGCGCTACTCCAAAAAGACGTTGTGCTATTCCAATAGACGATACATATCGAAGGTAACTTTCCTTAGAAGTCGATTGGAATATCCATCTCATTATGATAGAGAACACCTGAAAGATTCCTTCCTTCGAATGATTACCATTGGCGGTCTTCTTTTGAAAGTGACTGTATGTGTACTTAAAAAAAGTGGGCTTCATATTTTAGCGGCTTTAGCGCGGACAACAATGCGCTAATTCATGAATACCGCTTATCAATAATTTTATTAATGAAATATACGGCGCGTTAGTGTGTAGCGCTAATTCATGAATACGCCAACAACGCAATACCCAGTGATAGGGCTAAATTTTGATTACGCAAATTTATGTACACGTCGGTATATGCTCCCCAACACCAAAATTGCTGAATGATAAAGGCATAATTGTAGCGTCCTGCAGGGCGACGGTACTACAGGTAACTTTAACTGGAACGATCTGTGAAAAAGAGATTTGACCATAAAGAGTCTCAAATATCTTCTGCATCACGATTTTTGCATTACTCGATGGTGTTATCGAGAAAAGGGACTGCAGATATCCGGGCTGAAAGTTTGTTCAATACCGTTTCAGGAATACTTCTTTCTAGTCAAAAGAGGCGGTAGCAATGCAGACGGAAATCAATCTCTCAAACTTACTTATAGCATAAATATGTTTTGACAACGTGACATACATAAAAAGGGTGAGACCGTCTTTCACAGCGTTTTTTGCCTGATATGTCCCCACATGACATGATCAATTTCTTATTTGTACAGCAAAACGTCTAGAATAGTAATTCCTTAAAAAGATGATTTGAATATACCGAGAGCAAGTATTCTGTTAGTTTCAATTGATTGTGGTGTATTTATTTTTTAAGCTAAGTAATTTAATTTAAGTTTTCCATTTAAAAAAGATGTAATCTTTCAAAATCAAGAAAAAATATTCTTTGAATTCAACCGTGTGCTACTTAGAACCAATTATCTAGAAACAATACACGGTAACTGGCAAAATTTGAACAACAGCACAATTTCCATAAATTTTAAATGTCTAATTATGCAAACAATTAAAAAAAATCTCATGGAAATTTTCAAAATACAGATTGGTTTCTAATTTATATCTTATTAACAATAAGAATAGCACGGTTACTAAAATAATCACCACACACACACACCCTCTCACACACACACACACACACACACACACACACACACACACAGAGAGAGAGAGAGAGAGAGAGAGAGAGAGAGAGAGAGAGAGAGAGAGAGAATGAATCCATATTCATCAATGTTTTTCTGATGAAAGATAAAGTAAAGGAGCATGCAAAATGCAACCAAAAGTCAAATGATAAGAATAGACCAAAAGTCAAATGATAAGAATAGGAATGAAGTAAAACATTATGAAAATGTATGAACAGCTACTTACTTGAAAACATCTATGTATGAAAAATGTCCCCTTACGAGAGTCGTTCAATAAGTTTGACAACATAGGGTTTATCGTTGAAAATGTTGAAACAGTTAATTTAGTTTTATCACACTAGGAAAGTTCAAGAACTCTTAAATCACCGAAGACCGCATGTTTTCCCTACAGTCTTTGCAAAAAGTTACGTTTAAAGTAAGCATTGTCACTTCAATGAGTTGAAAACTGTACAAAAAAAGGTCTCTGACAAGACAATGAAAATAAGGGCTTATGTGAAAACTGCGGTTCATCACAAAGATCGCTGAATAACTCAAACAAAGCGTTTAAGATAGGGTATGATGTCTGGAAAGACTATTTTTTCACTACGGTACACAGGAGAATCAGATAATTCAAAAATGGAAAGGAGATCTTAAGAAATAGAAGTCGATCTGGTTAATTGAGGTCTGTAGAGAAACCAAAAATATCGATGCTGGGAACAACATGCTATCTGAAAATGTTATATCTACAGTGTGAGAACTTGCTTAGACATTGAACATTTCATCATCATAACAGTTGATTGCATTCTGACAAAGGAAATAGATCAAAAAATAATTCTGTCAAATTAGTGCATTATTCCTTTAAGATGCTTAGAAGAAAACACGCGTTAGATATGTCAATATTCTATTAAAATAAAAACATTATAACGAAAGAAGGTATGTTTAACCTGGACAGGAGACAAAACATAGGTACACTGATTTAAGCCCAAATGTAAGGTCAATAATAAAATGTGGAACCAGTGAGGAAACTGTCGTCCTCTTATTGCAAAGAGAAGCAATAGCTCCATCAGGTCCTATACTTTTTTTTTTACTTAAGAAGTCAATTGATACTTGTACTTGCATCGAAGGGAAGGACCATTAATGGAAGCTTTTATATTAATATTGTGCTAACGAAAAATGACCAGCTTTTCTGTATGGGAAGTTCTAATACCGGTACCCAGGGTGATTTTCTTGTAGCAGACAACACTGCTGCAAAAAGACATAGAGATGTAAAGGAAATGTTCAAGAAAGTGACGTTTAAAGAGCATAGCCCCCCCCCCCCCCCCGTATTTAGTAGATCTCATTCATTTTGACATTTTTTAAAATTCCAAATATACAAGAAAACCATCAAAGATAGAATTGCATTACTTATTGAACGACCCTCGTATATAAATAAAAACAACATTAATCCGTGTATCCATTTATCACTGTATTCATATTTAAGCACCTCTTCCTTAGATTGTTTCTTCATATTTTACATTCCAAAAGCATTGATCTACAAATACATAATGAAAAAAAAAACACGACGAATCTAAATTAAATAGTTTTGATAAGCCGAGCCCCTTTAAATAAAAATATGCACAGTAATATCACGAATATAACAACTCGGTAAGTTTTTTTTAATGTAAAAGAAATTTTTTGCAATTACTATTGAAATATTATATCAACCTTATTAACTAAACTTTATGCATATCTGTTTTTTCCCTTTTCAGAAGAAACACCTTCAGTATAAAGAATACAGACGCAAGGAGACACCTGGCTAAGCCTTATGTCATTAAAGATTTAAATACCTTAAGTGACAGTTTTAATGAAAAAGACAATGCATTATATTCAGAGGTTATAAGAGATATTAATCAGAAAAAGCAGCAGTACAACCACAATCCTGCTTCTAGCGGCAACATCTATTGTTCCCATGTAATTCCAGATTCTACATATGACAAACTTCAATTTCATCCAAAAACAGAGACAATATTGAGAGATAATGAACTATATGGCGCAAATATCTAAGATTGAATGTATCAGAAAACATCGAATTTGTCTTTGTCTTTCTTTTATAATGAATTCAAAACTTAATATTTGAGTTTGGGTGAAAGGGATAATGAAACAAACAATTTTCAAACATGTTGGAGAAAACTAGTACCTTCTAAAGCTTACATGTACCTGTGACTTGATAATTTCATGCCAAAATAGGTCTGAAGACCGCTTAAGAACCTGCTTGTTGATCTCGACTTCTTTTGACAATCAAAATTAGGTACGAGTTTGCTAGATCTTAACATCACCGTTTGACCCTGGCTTTTACGACATTTACTTTTAATCTTTAAAAGTAAATGTCGTAAAGGCAGGGTCAAAAGGTGATGTTAAGCTCTAGCAAACCCGTCTTTAGAGAAATACCTAATTCTGATTGTCAAGAGAAGTAGAGTTCAACAAGCAGGTTCTTAAGCAGTCTTCAGACCTATTTTGGCATGAAATTATCAAGTCACAGGTATTTTAGGCACAACTTATTTTTGTGGATAATTGTTCATTTCATATATAAAATTGACACATCTTGATAGACATTCGAAATATGTGCACACAAGGATAACATAGTATAATTGAAAATACCGAACACAATTTAAATATTATATATTGTAAATAAAAACATGAAGGGAAAAATATCATATAAAATCTAAAGTTTACAATAGTACGCAATGAGGATACACATGGTACAAAATATGCACTGTAAACAGAATGTGTATTTCAAATTTAAACGGTGTCAACGATGGGGTAACATCCGCCCCAAAAGTCAACAGTAAAAACGTTAATCAATATAAGAAGGTGGTTTCCATGGTGGCAACAGAAAATTCTAAACAGTGCTACAGTGTAATAACGAAAAATAAAGTTTGAGACTGACGTTATATTGCGCGCATGCGCTTATAGTGATAAGACAGGAGAAAAGGGGTCTCTCGAGGAGTCGTGGCTTTCCATGGGCAAATAAATAATCTTACAAAAACTATCGGTATCCATAAATGTCTTTATGGAATAACATTTTTCCCCAAGGAATTTATAGATACGCAAGGAAATAACGTCAAGTATGCTGAGTTTTACTTTATCATTTTCAGAGATGGTGATATGGATTCAGAAAACCACAGTGTGGTAATCTGGAATGTCGAATCACATCGTCACATGATTGTGTGAAATCAACAGTAAAACTGAGCGATACATATTTGGGTATAAAATAAATATAGTAATCTATCTATTCATAGTTTGCATTTTACTAAAAAGTTTGTTCTACTTAAAGCAGTAACATCATCAGATTTCTAATTTTATTTAAGAGATGTCAACTAAAAATAGTGCTTTCAACTGTGTCCGAATGACGTTTTGATTCCTCAAAAAGATGTGGCATTTCATAATTTTTATTCAATATTTATGATGGAATTAAAGACCTCTTTTTACTTATTAACTGTAGCATTTCGAAAGAAAACATGATCAAAAATACCCATCAAGTACACATTTTACCAGTACGGGAAAACAATTTTGACGTCACACAAAAAAAAAAAAAAAAAAAAAAAAAAAAAAAAAAAATTACAAGCGAAATAAAACGTAGTGTACATGTATATATTCTTTTCTACCCACACGTGAGCATTGTTGAAAGATGTATGCTAAAATAGTTATTGGGTTCACTGTTTTAAAATACTACCCATGTACTATCATCTGTTTTTTTTTTTTTTTTTTTTTTTTTTTTTTTTTTTTTTTTTAATATATAAAATTCAATTGAATAGTTATGTAATAAACGTATAAAAATATTGATCTTGCTGGCCTGACTGATCATGTTAACTTTGTGAACCTTCATTCTAAATTCACAATCGTCTCATTTAAAAAGAATGGTTCTTGGTTTATTAATTTTTTTTTCATTTTTTTTTTTTTTTTAAATTTACCTCTTTTTTTTTTTTTCTTAGTTAGATAAATACTTTGCACCCTCGCAAGGAAATACCCCTTAAAATAAAAAAGAAGTTTGGAAAAAATTAAATCCACATTTCTTTATCAACAGCTAGATAAAAAATAACCGACTTTATTAAAATTTAATTGTATAATGTTTAATGTGATAAAGTAAATAGAATCCGTGGATGTAAAGAAAAAGCGAGATGATTTTGAAAAAAAAGTTCTTTTGTGTTAAATGTAATCTCTCTCTCTCTCTCTCTCTCTCTCTCTCTCTCTCTCTCTCCCAAAAGCTGATCACCAGCCTTGTTCAAAAAACGTAGCTAAATAAATTAGAACGCAGCTAATGAATAAAAATAGCTAAATAAATTAAGCGTGTTGCGAACAACACGATTATGATATTTTTCAATTTTAATCATAAGATTGCTATGCCTAAACATGTACATGCAGAATTTTTAAAATTAATTTATTATAATTCTTGAAAACATATCTAAAGAGTGGAGTAAAACCAAAGAATGACCAAAAACAAGGTATATAAGAAAACAATCTCTTGTCATCATTTCAATCCGTATATCCCCCATGTAACTCAGCTAGTGAACATTTACAATCAAATCTTCCAGTTCGTAAACGTGTGCATGTAGTAAAATGATAAATATGTAGAGTAGAAGCTGAGAGGTATATTGGAAAAGTCGCAGACAAAACGGAAACATTTTGAAATTGAAATCAATCAATCATTAGCATTACATGGCATTTTCAGTGTCTTTTTAACATTAACTACATTTTTATTCAATTAAAAATGGTACATATTTACTCAGTGGACAGTTTAGTTACAGCTGTCATTGATGAGAAATGAGAAATGTACAACAAAGAAACGTAAAAAAGCATTGCTGAGATTTACTGAATGCTGAAATATATCAGTTAGGTTTTCTTTCTTCCGTGTATCAAATATTTCCTCAAAACTAGACCACAAAGAAACATTCAATTTCAACTTAAGTTTTTTCTCTATAAATTGAAGTTTGTGCCTAACGGTGACATTGGGTAGATCAAGTTTGCATCTGTTCCTTTTCAATGATTTTTGACAGAATTCTGGCTTTTTACTTTTTTAGAAGAACCAGAGCATATTTGCAGGTAGGGAACAAGTATTGCTAATGCAATATTTTCAGAATACTTGTTTAAGTTAAATATGTGTTTGAATCGGTATCGGCAAGATAAGATGCTGTTGCTGATTGATGTTCATGGAGATTTTCCAATGAGTGTAAAACTTCGTTGGATTCTTCAGATTCTTTGTCCTCACTATCCATTTTGTTTACTTTGTCAAACATTATATTTTTAGGTTCTAAGTATGTGTTTCTATCTAGTGTCAGTTCACTTGTAACATCGACATTAAATGTCATTGTTTGCACTGGCCACTTTGTATTATTTAGTTTAATATAGCTATCTTGAGCAATTGATTCTGGGTCAACTTTCATTACTTTTTGTCTCGAAGGTTCAGAATCCTTGTAATCTATATTATTTTCCTGCATCTTATACCTAAAAGATTGGATGCTGTGAGAATCATTTTCTTCATTTCCTTCTGTTAGTCCATCAATTGAAACAACCTTTTCGGTTCCCTTTATCCAAAATCCCCCTTTCCTAGAAATATTAAGAAGGAAGAAACAAAGGAAAAAAAAACGGTTTATATGCCTGCATAATGCATTTAATTTTGATTATGACGTTTCATTTTCAATGACGTCAGATAATTACTCTGATTTTCAAATAAATTTGCAAATAAATAATCAAAATTCAGTCCATTAAATGACATTGCACAGTTACAATATAATCTATTACAGCTCAAAAACTTTTAACTCAACATACTTTAGTGAGATTAAATGCAGATTTTGGAAAGAAATATATTGCTTCTTAACAAAAGCTCAAACAAAGGATTTGTTTGAATTTGTAATTTTATTTAAGTTTCGATATTCTTGCTTGTTATCTAACTTCGTAGTACGTGGTTGCCCCCCCCCCCTTTTTTTTGCACGAATAATAGCCTTAATGTCGTTAGATTTGCTATGGATTGATATTTCACAAGATTTTTTGGAATTAAGTACCATTCTTTTTTTTAGTAGTTGACATGTTTTACTAACGTCTTCTTATTCCGTCGTAAATTTCACCTTAAATATTTTAAAATCAGTTTCAAACAGGATTGCTTCCCGCCCATTTTAGTAAAATATGCACATGCTAAGTATTTCCATGCATTAACATTTTCTTCTGTTATCTAGCAGCTGGCCACAATTCAAAAAGCACAAGAGAAGTTCTCAAACGAATGTAAATTTTACACTTCTGTAGCTCTGAAAAAGTCTCGATTAAAACGCAAATGAAAACATTTGAGGTCAAAGTACGCAAAGTACGCCAAGTACTTATAAATAAAAAGATATGTGGAAGGCACTCTAAAGATAACGGTGCTTATGATTTTAAAAAGTGGTTCTCCGAAAACTTAATTCGTGCATTAAGGCTTTTATTCGTTCAAAAGGGGGAGAAACTAAGTCTTAAAAGTAAATAATCAACCGAAAATATCAAAACTTCAGTTGCTAAATTTTTCATACTTTTGTTTGTGTCTTTGTTTAGTAGCAAAATGTTATTTCCAAAATTTGTATTCTATTAGCTAACAAAGGAATGTTAGGTATAAACGTTTGTTGAACTGTATATATCAATGTAAATATCTCTACTAACAATTTTAAAACATGTTCACAATCAAGATAAATGATGAAAATTAAAGCATAAATCACGTTCACTGCATATGTTACTCACCTCTTTCTGTATACACACACACCCACAATCACTAATACTATAAGAATTGCAAAAACACCAGAAAAGGTTAATCCCCACTTCCACTGGGACTCCTTTTCAAAAAATATCTCTGTTTACGAAATAATAATTTTTATTAAGACACGAAAATGTTCATACTATGGTTATATATCCATAATGTTTCAATAGGGCAAAGACGAAAATGCTAAATGACAATTTCTGTGTTTATCTTTTGTAGGTCACATTGTACAGATCTGCTTATAACTTCAATAATAAAAGTAAGCATTGAAACTACTTTAAGATAAAAGATTTGCTAGCTTACATCATCTGACGTAATT